TCTAATTTAACTATTGACTATTGTTTTTTTTTCAAAGTTCTTGTGACAACGTTTGTGTAGCTTATGATTACACAAGAATAGTAAATAACTAAACAAAAAGTAGTCACTAGATCTCCAACAACATTTAATGTATTTTTTGAATTTTTGAAACAAAAGTAGTTAATGACGAAATTAGAAAAGTTAATAGCTAAATAAAAGTAGTCACCAATTTTTTTAAAATAAAAGTAGTCAATCACAATACTAAAGTAATCAGTAGCTAAACAAGAATAGTAATCAGAATTTTAAAAATAAATATAGTCAATAGCTAGAAAAGAGTAGTCAATATATAAGAAAAAGTAGTCACTAGAGTTGCAGAGATGGCAATATTTGGGGAGAAAAAAACTGAAGTGCATTTGTGTAATTTCATAATATTTGAAAATTCCAGAATAGTATAAGAAGTCTGAATTGATATTTTGAAATTCAACTTTATTGATTTGTCCTTTAGTAATTTCTGAGGCATTTTATTATTATTTTTCCTATGAAAAGTGCTAATATTTTGAAGAAAATGGCATTTAGTGAAAGTTACATTATTTAAAATGATCAAAAATAGTATATGTAAACGACTGTTATTTAGAACGACGAGAAACAAGGTTATTTTCACTTTCTAAAATTATGGTTCACTATAAAAGTAGCTTCTTCTTTTTTTTCTTTTTTGTTAAAACTATAAAGTCGCTTTTGTCTTAACTATATATAGTTTTATAATGTTTCCTCATATTTGATCAAAGTGATCATTTTAATGAATTCCTTATCCATTATTGCCTATACCAAAGCATATTAAGACGAAGTATTTTCTCGTCCATCTTTCCTTTGTTGAATGAATTCCTTATTTTTTTTACTGAACAAAAGCAAAAGTACCTAATATTCAACATTCTTATGACATATTTTAAAGTAAAAAAGGGAACAAAAGGAAAATATGAGTCATTTACATATTTTAATTTTATATTTTTACATTAACTAAAGTTGGCCTCATACAACCAAGCTTTATAGATTGTACCAAAACGAGTCCTTTATGCTAAGCTGATTGATAGGGCAAATACTTACATAAGTTTTTTATATCTATTATGCCAAGTTCTCAAATCACATATGATTATATATCTTATTTTTAAAATATTAGTATTTAATAATATTTAATTAAAAATTCACATAAAACAAAAAATGACTCATAGCCATTGTTGTTGAACTCGAGAGTTGATTTTCTGAGTTTAATGCTTTGACGGTTTCGGCTCATAAAAATGTGTTGACTTGCCCTTAAACTTATGCTAGCTGTGAATTCAATTAAATTTGTAAGTTCACTTACCGAGCTCACAAAATCATTTCAATTTGCTTTTAAACTCGTGTTAAAATTTTATATTTAATTATATTTAATGACTTCTATTTATTTAATATGGTAAATTACGAATGTTGATGGAATTAATTTCACTTATTTGGATAAAAATATATTTATCATTTTTTATATTTTAATTATTTAATTATTTAATTATATACTTTGAAAACCAATTTATTAATAAAAATAAACTCTTATGAGTTCATGGTTTGAGTTTACAATCAGAATTTACATCCCCATCATGAGTTTGTTTAAACTCACAAAATTGACAATCTTGCTCATGGTTATAAATAATTAAAGAATTTGAGCTAATGGATATAAAAAACTTGACCTGATTTTTAATTTTATTTATTTAAGAGAATATATTGAAAAGGCAGAGGTGGGTTCTGTCAATACATGTGTCGCTTGGTCCATTATTTGGACGGTGATTTGAGGGCTAACTTCATGCCAATGCAGGAATATGTGAAAACTGAAACCTCAGTCTGTTAAAGCGGAAGTTAATCACTGCTGGTCAAAAAAAAAAAAAAAACAGTTGAAGTTAATCACAGTCCAAAAGGGGGGAAAAAAGGGAAAATGGATGTTAATCCATATAATTTTGCTCTTACGTGTTGTTTTACATTTATTGTAACTGTAGTAGTGATATCCTGCTCAATTTAGATATAATATACATTATACCTTATGTAAATAAAGTCAACACAATAATAAATAAAGGATAAAATTATACATCCATATAAAAAATTTCTTTCACTATCCTATAAATAAGATCAAAAAATATATTCTCTCTTTGTCCTAGAAAAAGGACCAAAGAAATAACACACACATATATATACACACACTAAATTAATTAAAAATGTCACTTCTTGCTTGGAAACTTTTCAGTTTTTTTTAATCATTTATATAACGACATATCTCCCTCTACTAGCATTGCATTTTTTTCCTGATAAAAATACTTTTAGTTAATACTTACATTATACCTTATGTAAATAAAGTCAACACAATAATAAATAAAGGATAAAATTATACATCCATATAAAAAATTTCTTTCACTATCCTATAAATAAGATCAAAAAATATATTCTCTCTTTGTCCTAGAAAAAGGACCAAAGAAATAACACACACATATATATACACACACTAAATTAATTAAAAATGTCACTCCTTGCTTGGAAACTTTTCAGGTTTTTTTAATCATTTATATAACGACATATCTCCCTCTACTAGCATTGCATTTTTTCCTGATAAAAATACTTTTAGTTAATACTTACATTATACCTTATGTAAATAAAGTCAACACAATAATAAATAAAGGATAAAATTATACATCCATATAAAAAATTTCTTTCACTATCCTATAAATAAGATCAAAAAATATATTCTCTCTTTATCCTAGAAAAAGGACCAAAGAAATAACACACATATATATACACACACTAAATTAATTAAAAATGTCACTCCTTGCTTGGAAACTTTTCAGTTTTTTTTAATCATTTATATAACGACATATCTCCCTCTACTAGCATTGCATTTTTTTCCTGATAAAAATACTTTTAGTTAATACTTAAATTTGAATTTATTAAAAGGTCATTAATTATAATATCCCATTTAGTAATTTATAATTATTGACACATTAATTACTAATAACTAAATTAATTATTAATTGTTGTTTTTAATTCTTGTGATATACATTTTTTTGCCAACGGTTAAAAGGATCTTATACATTTAATTGGTCTGCTTCTGAAAAACATTACTAATAATGAATAGGAAAAATAGCAAAAAAAGAATGCCGTGATAGAAAAATTGTAAATTGGGACTCATGACAATATTAGCATGGGTTTTGATAACAATAGTTAGAGGTAGGAATCAGGACCGACCCGCTCTCCAGAGTCGGCCCTTCAAGGCTGGTGAGCTTAAAAGAGCCGGCCCTCCAAGGTCGAAATTTCAAAAATACCCTAATTTGTTAGGCCTAGCCGGCCCTTAAGCTAAAGGGCTCAGGACCGGCCTGCAGGCTTTTGACCCATTTAAAGAAAAAATATTATTTTTTATATTTCTCATTTTTTTCATCAAAAAAATAAAAATAAACCAATGAAATTGTTAATAAAAGACATAAATATAAATAAAATTAAGTCACAAATACAAAATATCATCATATATAAATATCTATCAACATTCAAGAACATCTAAAACATTCATTAACAAGATAACAATATTCAAAAGTTTTATCTATAGTGTAATTATGCAATAAATAAATGTTATCATTAATATTTTGAAACTTCATCATCACTATAATCAATTACTCTTCTTTATAAGTATGTTTTTCTTTCATAACAAAAATATCAAGTTTTTTATATGAATTTTACTTTTAAATTTTGCAATCTAGCTATTATTTTACTTTAATGTAAGAAACATTGTTGTTGAAACTCATGAATTTCTAATTCAAATTATAGAATCGTAAGTTATATAAGTATAAAAACACTCTATTATCAAATATATATAGTTTAAAAATATCAACACATGGAATATAAATCAAATCATTGTTAAAGTCCAAATTAACCCCTTTTTTTAAAAATTTAATTGAATAAATTATTATCTAAAACTAAATAAATCAAATCATTCTGTAAAATTTAATTTTAAGATGATAATAATAACTAAATATTTGAAATATTATTAACAATGTAAAAAATTAATAATATTAGAATTACAATAAAAAATTTAAAAAAATATATAAAAGGGCCTAAACGGGTAGACCCTCAGCCCTCTAGGATTGGCTCTTTTAAGCCCTTGGCTCTCCAGAGCCAGCCCTTTAGGGCCTATTTTCCATTTGAAGGGAAAAATTTCAAACCTAGCCCTTGTAATTTTAGGGCCTAAATTGGCCAATCCAATGGGCTCAGCCCGTTTTTCCGGCTCTAATAATAGTATAGGTTTTTACCATATTTTTTATAAATAGGTCTCTGCGTGTAATTTTTTGATTTTAGCAGTCTTTTTTTTGCTATTTTTCCTAATGTATATTAAGTTTATCTATATAATATTAACTTAAAAATATTGTTGGCGTTGGCATTAGATGCACCAAAAAATACATAAAATTTATTTATTTATTTATACAAAAATACTTATATAAAAAGAAATAAATAAAGTACTGAGGGATTACTCATCATACCCTTTTTTCCCCCAACACATAGCTTTTTTTAACTTTTATTTATTTAATTCGGCCAAAAAAGGTCTTTTTCCCTTAAGTATTGAAATGTTCCTAAACCAACCCAAACGAGTCAAAAGTTCTCAAGGGATCGAGAATCCGACGTGGCATATATCACCTCCTCGCAATTTCGCTACGCGTCCCCTTAAAATGCGACGCAACGGTCAAGTGATGAACGGATCTCAGGGGACAGGCACGTGCGGTGCGCATGAGGGCCACCACTCGCGTAAAAAATATACCTCAATCCAACCCTCCGTACCCCAGTCCTCAATCCTCAACGGTCATATTTCACCGACATCCCCCAACGGTCATATTATTCGTCGCTCACTGTCCCCCGTCAGATCGCCATCCAACGGATCTAAACCAAAACCGCTTTTCCTTCTCTCCTCATCTTAACCCTTTTTCCTCTCCGATGCTGGAAAATTAAAACACTCGTAGGCCCGCCCAGCGAAGGAGAGTGATGATGATGGAGACAGACATGGGAGTTGAGTTGTAGAGTGGTGAAGAAAGAAAGATGGAGTGAGATTGTGTATTTGTGCTTAGTACATAAAAGCACGAGAGTTTTACGGTTTAAGTTTCTTTCGGGTAAGTGAGTAGTGAATGATGTGTGTTTGATTCTTGTTCTTGTTCATCTTCATCTTCATCTTCTTCTTATTCTTCATGCATGTCTGAAGCGAGTTGTTATTCAGAGGTGGGATTTCTGGTTTTTGCTCCAGCGGATTCTTCAATTTCAGCCATGACGGGATTCTTGATCGATTCAACTGCTAATATGGGTTTGCATATTTCTCAGGATTTCTGCCACAGATTTGAAGGAGTATGTGTTTATTTCTCTGTTCATAAACATAAAACAGAGCCCTTTCTAATGTCCAGTGCTTGAGTGTCTCTGGAATCCGATGATCTTTTTTCTCTGCTAGTAGGTAGTCTCCAAATTCTTTCATTCGTTTTCCGGGTGGGCATCCTTTTTCTGCATGTAAGTTCGTTTCATTATTGCATTTTACAGATTCATATAGGAACACTCGAATTTGTAAAGGAAAAGAAAAAGCACAGACAAAGTTGTAACTTGATTTGTTTTGTGGTTTCTGCTATTCATCGGATTCCTTTTCTTTGTTTCCACACACACACACACAAGTGTTTTATCAAAACGATTCACACACTCACAGTCTCTCTCTCTTGTGCATTTCTCTCGTAGACACATTCAAAGTTTTAGCTGATTCGGTAGGCATACATATTCATACTTCATTCAGATACACTCACCCAGAGATACACACTAGATATATATATATATATAGAGAGAGAGAGAGAGAGATAGGGAAACACCAGAAACACTGCATAGGGTGGGTGAATCAGAACGCAGGATTTTACAAAAGAACACCGGAAGGCTATAGGATGTTGGCTGGGTGTTCTAGTTCTACATTGTTGTCGCCGAGGCATAGATTGAGGAGTGAAGCATCTGCACAGTTTCAAGCCAGCCATTTCCAGTTACCTTCAATGAGCACGCAGAGACTGGACTTGCCATGTAATTTCCCGCGCAAAGACAACAGCAGCTCGCGATCGCAGTCCTTGAGGCCCGTCGGCCTCCCCGTGGAGAAGAAGCCCGTCGTCGTCGAGTCAAAGCCGAAGCCACCGTGCTCTCTCAAGCAGAACATCCGACTTCCACCATTGGCGACCACCACTAAAGCATCAAATGTTCAGAAGAACGAGTTCTGGGGTGAGAAAAGTAAGAGTTTAAAGAGGCTTGCTGAACAGGATGATGATTCCTTCACCAACAGAGCCAAGAGGACAAAGGTTATTATCAGTGACACTGAAAATCCTGATGTGGGTACTGCCGGCAATTTTTGGTTCAACAGTCCTTCGATTCCTTTCTCTCTGACTTGTTCAGGAGAAGGCGAAGAAGAAAGGGTTTGTTTGGTGCCTTCTGAAGTTGTCTCCGCACCATGGGTTGATTCCATTGTTACGAAGATCACAGACTCAGGCGAGAAAGGCGTTGAAGGGAGCAATCTGCCATCAAAGGAAGCTTCAGCATCCAACACTTCATCAGATAGCCAAAGCTTGAGCCTGAGGCTGAACGAGAATGACTCAGAGCAAGAAGTAGTTGGCAATGGAAGATCGGGCAATCCTTATCACCACGATGGAACAGAGGTAGGAACAAGGGATGAAGAAAATCAAGAGGAGCATAGAGGGTTCGAGCTTGTGAGCCTACTTACAGCTTGCGTTGATGCGATTGGTTCGAGGAATGTTGCTGCAGTGAATTGCTTCATAGCAAAACTGGGTGATCTTGCGTCTCCAAGAGCAAGAACATCAATAAGTCGTGTGTGTGCTTATTTCACAGAAGCTTTAGCGATCCGTGTCACAAGAATTTGGCCTCATATTTTTCACATCAGCACACCTCGAGAATTAGACAGGGTTGAAGAAGAAGCTGGAACCGCATTAAGGCTTCTAAACCAGGTCAGTCCAATTCCAAAGTTTCTTCATTTCACCTCCAATGAGATTCTCTTGAGGGCTTTTGAAGGAAAAGACAGGGTTCACATCATAGACTTCGACATCAAGCAAGGGCTTCAATGGCCCAGCTTGTTCCAGAGTCTAGCTGCACGGACCAATCCTCCAAGCCACGTAAGAATCACTGGTATAGGAGAGTCCAAGCAAGAATTGAACGAAACAGGAGATAGACTTGCGGGGTTTGCTCAAGCCTTGAACCTTCCCTTCGAGTTTCACCCTGTGGTTGACAGGCTAGAAGATGTGAGGCTATGGATGCTTCATGTGAAGGAACACGAAAGTGTGGCTGTGAATTGCATTTCTCAACTCCACAAAACACTCTACGATGGTTCCGGAGGAGCATTGAGGGATTTTCTGGGTTTAATCCGAAGCACGAATCCTGCTATAGTTCTCGTGGCAGAGCAAGAAGCAGAGCACAATGGGCTTAGACTTGAAACGAGAGTATGCAATTCATTGAAGTATTACTCTGCTCTGTTTGATTCAATTGACCATTGTCTTTCACAAGACAGTCCAGTGAGGAACAAGATAGAGGAGATGTATGCTTGGGAGATAAGGAACATAATTGCTTGTGAAGGAAGGGAAAGGGTTGAGAGGCACGAGAGCTTTCAGAAATGGAGGAAGATGATGGAACAAGGAGGGTTCAGAAACCTGGGAATCAGTGAAAGGGAAGTGAGTCAGAGTCGGATGTTGCTCAAGATGTATGCTTGTGAGAATTATAACGTGAAGAGGAAGAAGGAGGAAGAAGAAGAAGCTATAACACTGAGTTGGCTTGAGCAGCCTCTGTACACAGTGTCAGCATGGGCCCCACTTGATGTTGCAGCAACGGGGAGCCAATCCTCTTATTCTCAGCCATGAACTTGAGGAATTACTTCTCACATTCGTTCGTATACAGAAAAAAAGGAACAAAGAAAGGTAGCATTTGTTGTATTCTTTGTAGGTAGGGGAAAAAGGGTTTACTATTCTTTCATTCTTTGTTGCAGATAAGATTTGATTTGTTCTGGTTCAAAAATGTAGTTGCTACAGGAGTACTTTGATTCTTTTTATTTATTCTTTTTTTATACATAAAATCATGTTTGTTTTCTAGATGGTCAGAATGATACAGTTGGAGTCAATTTGTGTTCATTCTTTGATTCTTTTATTATCAATGTTTTCTGAAATATTCTTTATTACTTGTAATCTCTTGTAATCGCTAATTTGGTAATTACATGTGAAATGAAAATTCAGTGTTTTATGTCTCTCTTGTCTTTACTTTTAGTCACCAATAAGGAATGAAACATAGATATGTGTGTGTGTATATGGTATACGTAAAATAAACACATCGTTCTTGCATTTGGATTGTTTTGATATGAATGAGAAATGCAACTTTTACTTAAAGATAATCCTCTATTTGGTCTCCGTGGAATGGATGTTTTTTTTTTTTTTCCCCTAATGAGAAGTGGGCTTATAATTTTTTCAAGGGTTAATATAATATTTGGTTCCTCAAGTTGATTTTACTTATTTTGGTTTCGGTCTCTCAAATTTTAAATCATAGGTTTTGTCCCTATAAGGGCAAAATGGTCTAAGTTTTTATTGGGTTATAGGGACCAGTATTTTAAATGAAAAAAAACTTAAGGGACTAAGACTTATGGTTTAAAACTTGAGGGACTGAAATCAAAATGAAAGCAAACTTGAAGGACCAAAATTTATATTAACCTTTCAAGCTTGGTTCTAATCTAAATGAATGGTCCAGTCCTTATAACAATTTCGTCATATCATTGCTGAATTTAGTCCATTAAATATTGCCTACATGGCATCCTCATTAGCATACATGTAGGACTATGAATTAAAATGGTGAGAATTTTTTTTTTCCAAAAAAAAAAGTCTTTTCATATTGAAACACAGAAAAAAATTTTAAAGAGAGAAAAAAAAACAGAACTGTTTTTGCACTGCGACTGAGAAGAATTATACACACTCACACCCCCAAATTCACACAATTACCCGAATTTTAGAATGATTTAAATGCTATATTCATCTCTACATTTAGATTGATTGACTGAGTTAAAGTCACTTCATATTGAAACACAAAGAAAAAAATTTGACAGAGAGAGAGAGAGAGAAAAAAAAATAGAACCGTTTATGCACTGCGACTAAGAAGAATTATACACAATCACACCCTCAAATTCATACAATTACCGAATTTTAGAATGATTTAAATGCTATATTCATCTCTACATTTAGATTGATTGCCTGAGTTAAAGTCACTTCATATTGAAACACAAAGAAAAAAATTTGAAAGAGAGAGAGAGAGAAAAAAATAGAACCGTTTATGCACTGCGACTAAGAAGAATTATACACAATCACACCCTCAAATTCATACAATTACCGAATTTTAGAATGATTTAAATGCTATATTCATCTCTACATTTAGATTGATTGCCTGAGTTAAAGTCACTTCATATTGAAACACAAAGAAAAAAATTTGAAAGAGAGAGAGAGAGAGAAAAAAATAGAACCGTTTATGCACTGCGACTAAGAAGAATTATACACAATCACACCCTCAAATTCATACAATTACCGAATTTTAGAATGATTTAAATGCTATATTCATCTCTACATTTAGATTGATTGCCTGAGTTAAAGTCACTTCATATTGAAACACAAAGAAAAAAATTTGAAAGAGAGAGAGAGAGAAAAAAATAGAACCGTTTATGCACTGCGACTAAGAAGAATTATACACAATCACACCCTCAAATTCATACAATTACCGAATTTTAGAATGATTTAAATGCTATATTCATCTCTACATTTAGATTGATTGACTGAGTTAAAGTCATTTCCTCCTCTTTTCGTTTCCAGAGACATTGTGCAACAGCTGGCGCATCTTTCACGATCCGCCGAGTTTTTTCCTCAAAAAAATTGGTAGACTTGCAAAACAAGGGCAAAATATTGAGAGATGACTAGGACCTTAAAAGTTCAAAAGTACAGTATATGGAAAAGGATGACTTCCTTGAGGAATCAGCTACTCAATATAACTCAGTAGAAAGTACAAAATCAACATCACTACCTCCTTAAACATCTGAGTCTTTGACACATTCTCATTAAATTTCTCTATTAATCGAGTCCTCCAAGACATTTTCAGAACTCAGATGGACAAAACCGAAAAAGATCAGCCCTTCGCCCCACGAGCATGAAACTAACGGAAATGGAAAGATAAATTAGAGAAAACTTTCAGCCCATCAGGGATGACAATGAAATTTGATGGGGTCAGAGTGACGGACAGGAAGAGTTGCACAGACCCTTAAGCCACCTTTCGTAATTTTGATAAATTGAGATTGGGATTACTACTGGGGACAAGATTAGAAAAGGGAGTGGGAATTGTGTTTTATAGGAGGAATGTTTATATTAATTTTATTTTATAATTAATCATAAACTATACAAAGACTTATTATTCTTATAATAAATAAAAATTAAATAGGGTTTTGTGAAATATTATGGCGATAATTTGGTAAACATAATGTTTAATTTCCTGAATGATTTTTCAATACTGTTTATTGTGTAGTCCCATCTAACTAGTTTGCGCAATCCTAAGCACTGTTTAACATCTCATACCAAACATTAAAATGAGTTAATATTAATGTCAACATCAATTCCAATCCTCTTAATCCTTCATACCAAACCGAGCCTTAGATCGCGGGAAATCATCATTGTCATCATGATTATTTGGTTTGGCACTCGTGGAAATTAGAAACCAACCCTTTCTACGGTGTCTAATCTCCTTGGTTGCACACTATTAAAAAACTACTATCAAATTTTATTTCTTTATATTTCAATTAAACATATTTTTCCCTTTCGCTGCTTCGCATATTTATAAGTTAATGACTTAAATATCTGTAAAGATTATACTAATTTTTCTAAAAATTAAACAACCACACTATTTATTACTGATTAGAAGATACTACCTCCGGTCTTTAATATAAAACCTCATTTGACTTTTATTTTGGTCCTAAATATAATACCCCAATCCAATTTGTCTCTAATATTTATTATTTTTTTCCAAAATAGTCCTTCTGATAATAGTAGTTTTAGCCAATACACTTGATTAGCAAGGATATTTTAAGAAAGACAACACCTGTTTATAATTAGGATCGGAGATAGTACTCCTCTGGTCCTTAATATATGACCCAATTCTTAAGTTAGTTTTGGTCCTAAATATAAAACCCATTTTTCATATTTATCAATTTTCTCTAAACTACCCCTATAGATAGTCCCTCAACCATAATCAAGTAGAAGAGGGAGAGGGGGTATTAAGAAAGATGATTATAGTATTTTAGGAAAAATGTGTCACTTGTCTTATAATTAACTAACTTACCTAACTTCCTTAATCTAGTCAAATTAGTTAAATAAGTCTTATATTAAGGAACAGAGGAGTATAACTTATATGCAATCAAGGTGATAGAACTACAAAATTTTCTCAGCCTTTTAACCAACCTTCAGCTTGAAGTATTTCCTTGTTAAAATAAGACTTGAGTGCTTATTTATAAATTGCCTTTGAACATGGTGATCTCGACCGAAGCGCCACAAGGAGCACTGTCTCAGCATCCGACCAGCGATTTCTATTGCCAATCACTACTCTCTCTGATCTCTAGTTAAGGATTCTGCTCGCTACGAATCGATCTGCTCTGTCATCGGATTTAGCTATGGACAACCGTTCGTTGATTACCGCTAAGGTTGCGAAGTTGTTGGTTAGGATCCTAGTCTGTTCTTCTATGACAGGCTTGTAAATAGATGAACCGAATGTAAGCACAATTAAATTAAAAAGTTAGAGAAGAGACCAATAGTACTTGTGCCAATCTCTGGTGGTTGTTGGTTTGGGGGGCTCCATTTCATTGGCAGACGACGCCATTGAAGAACAGATATTTGGCCAAATTCTTCATTTTCTCAAAATAGTTACATCTTAATAGAATGAATAAACAACTTCCAGTCTCCTAGAAAATCGCCCATAAGGTAGATGGGCTTCTTTCATAGAAAGGCAAGAAGCCAACCGAATAATGGGGAAAGAAACGAATTTGCATCAATATTCTCAACTCACATTCCTTAAATGATGGCAACAGCAATTCAAAATATGAAAGAACAAAAAATCAGGCTGGGTATTGAATCAGTCTAAGTACTAGTTCAAAGGTCAGTGAATCAGATTATAGTCAAATAAATAGTAATTAAAATCATATAATTTAGTTAAAATAGGTAAAAATATTCATATTTTGATTATAAAAAAATATTTAATTTTTAAATGGGTAGTCATGTTATAAATAATTTATATATAAAAATTTTTCCTTTTTTTCCCCTTCTTTCCATTTTTCTCACATGACCTAGTAAAAATCTTTCCTTTTTCATTTAGTTTTCTTACTCTTTCTTCTCTTTGCCTGATCTTTTTTCTCTCTCCCACATAACCGAACTAAAAGCTTTCCTTCATAATGCACAAAGCAACATTTTCTTTTCTCTTTCTTTCTTCGATAATGAACAAGCAAAGACAGCAACAGACTTGTCTCCTTCGACATTTATCACCATTTCTTTGTTTTTCATTAAAAATCGGTTTCTGCCTTCCTCACTTTTCTTTCTTTCTTAAATAGAAACGAGAAACAGTAAAACATTGCCATTTTTTCTCTCTACACTTTATCCATCCATCCTACTCTATCTTTCATTAATGTTCAAACAAGCGGCCTTTTCTTTTCTCCAAATGATAAACGAGAAATAGACTTCCAAACAAAATTTTCTCTTCCTGCCCATGATCTCTTTTGCTTCTACCACTTGTCTCTATAGTGAGCATGGTCTCCAGCAAACGACGTCCATCTTCCTTGGCAAATTGTAAGAACAAGAAGGAAAGGGGAAAAAAAAACACAACTGGGCAACCCACCCAAACTAAACTAGACTAGACCATAAGCTAGTTTATCCTGGTTCATCCCAAGTTGTTTCGGATTGATTAGGGTCTAGTATTTTAGTTAAACTAGAATTGACTGTTTTTCCTGTTGAATTAGTTAGTCTGGTCTGATTTTTTTTTTCCTTTGCAAAATA